GGTGCTTCATTGTACCAATATTTATGTGTTTAAATAATAATAATAATAATAATAATTTTCACTGAACAAAGTGAAATTCTTGTTTGTAGCATTAAAATATATCCTCGAATTAAAACGTTTGGGTATCCCTATTGGTAATTTACGAGAAGCAGTTAAAGATTAATGTTAACTACATTGAAATTTTTCATTTCCCTTTCCTAAAAGTAAGGAACAACCAAACCTGACAAAAAAATGTGAAATAATAATCTGGTTGGAAGAATAGTTGGTTGTTTTAATACGTTTTTTATTGTGTAGGTAAGCTTTGAAGGAAACTATACATGAAGAAAGCAACGAGTTACATATAGTTCGTGACTATTAACGTCATGTCTCGAGAAAACGTATTTAGAATATTGGAAGCTTCTATTGTGGGTTATGACTACCACTTGAAGTGAAGCCTCATAAAATTACGGGTTTATTGATAGGGAAAATAAGTAGGGATGCTAACAAAAGCTAGTCAAAATTTTTCCACCCTCAGAATGATTATGTCAGTAACGTTGGGAAAAACCAGAATTTAGGAGTCATGAAAAGATAATATATGAATACAATTAGGTCACTAAAACCTAGCTGCAGTGTACTTCTATTGTCAGAGGTTGTTACAATAGTTACTGGAAACGGTCAGGAAGTTTATACATCTGAATAGTTATGTAATTGCTGATAGTAGTGCGGATGGTGTAATTGAGCTATTCGTAGTGAAAATTAGAGCTAACTTATGCTAATATGGGTTATCTTTGGTAAAGTATGGGTAAACAATGCACCGATATGAGATGTATTCTCTCCAAGCCGTACTTACGACTGACTTTGACTACTGTCTCTGAAAGATTGTAAACTTCCAGTAGGAATAAGGTGCCGAAGAATCAAGCTTATTAATTAGGTCTGAATTAATTGGATAGTGAGTGACTCACGAGCTAATTTTCATCAGTTACCCATAGCATGTTATGATGTTTATGTTCGAATTCTGTATGTTTGAAGGATATTTTATCAGATAAAAACGTCTATTTATATGGCCAGTGTTCACTGATTTTTAGTTATCCGAGCGTTTGCATCAATAATAGTTATGTGAGCAGCCATCACTCGGCCACACAACCGAAAAATTTGTCCTATTATCCATTAAAACCCCTCTCATTAACAAGCAGCAAAACCGTTTATGTGCCGCTGGGGTTTGAAAATGAGAAGAGTTGATCGCTCAATAAAATAGGGTTGTGATATGAATACATAAATAAGTAGCAACTGTTGGGCTAACATAAAACCGTGGTTGGAGTGGGAATGTGTGACTTTAGAAGTTACTAGGTATGGATTATAATAAAAGTTAGTTGCTATCCTACAGTAATTCAGTTGTATTCTTTATAAAAGTGAGGTAAACTTTTTAAATTTAACTTTTTTTGGTTAGAATGTAACTACTTATTTAAAGATTGTTTAGTCTACCGTATTTTCATCTTTTTTTGATGTTATCATTGGATTTTGCGTGGTACATTTTTGAGTGCTTTATTGCATTAAAATTCATGTTATAAATTAACCAATACACTCAGTCACAAAAAAGACATACCGGCTATAGCCGAGCTAGTCTCTGGAGAGTACCATATAGTCAATATAAATTTCAATGATGCTTTAGGTCGTCTTTGACAACTAAGACAATAGCTATTCCTCTTGCGGTATTCATAGTCTGAGTCCGACGTTGAACTTGAGTGCATACTGCCGTTAGCTACTTCGCCACATTTATTAGGTGAGTATGAACGAACTTCAGCAACAGGTTGACCACCTTCCATGAATTTATAACCAAAATTTGATAATTAATCCTTCACCGAAAATTGGGTGACCAGTAAATACATCCTGTGGGGCATAGAAAAATGTACAATATGACTGTATAAAATATCAGATTGATTAGAATAGTTGGAGAAAATTGAAAATATTTTGTAACGACAGTCTGCAAATCCTGGCAACGAAGTTGCTGCCCGTAGCATTGGCGTAAACTTATTGTGGAGAAAAATGATAATATGGGGATGTCCAAACAGAAAAAGGAGGAACGGTGTCTTAAAATGAGATGAAACAGACAATAACCAGTTGCTAAAACCGTTGACCCATCTTTTCAGAAATCATTAGCTGTTATTTTCTTTGTTTTGACACCCTTATTTTTATTCATAGTTAAGGTAGGGAGATCCCATATACTAGCAACTGACAAAATATCACGCAGAGTGCTCAACTGAATATTTAATCAACAGACTAGTAACTGGCCTATTGCAGCCAGGAAACGAGCATAAACTAGATCGTTACTGTTTTGGGTTCTTAAGTATGAGTACATAATGGCAATTGTACGACAAATATTGCATTTAATCTCTGAAAAGAATTTCACTGAATCGGTCAAGAAACCTAAATTATCTGAATTTTAAGATAACAAGGCTAAAGGTGTTGCGTTTTGAGTTAACTCCATTGCTTATCTGTTTATTCGAATGCGTCAAACCAAAGAGCACCTTGTATAGTATCTTTGTAAGTGTGGAGGGTGAATTACTAGTCTAGATTCTGCTAACTCAAATTATCTATGGTGCAGAAAAAATACCTATCTGTACGTAAAAACGAGTACAAATGTAGGAGAAATTTACTGTCCTAATTTAGTTTGACCAGACGACCATATAGAAAGATAGGTATTAATTACAGACAGGGTCCTCCACGATATCTTATGAGAACAGTAACGAATTAGTTGATTAACTCGCAGGCGTTTATTAGCTAGTCAATTTGGGAAGCACGTGTATACAAATCATTGTACCGTTTACTTGTCAGTCATAATCAATGTACGATTTGGGACATGTGTGGGTTAATTCAGGTTGTTAAAGTTACGACACAGTCTTGAAGACTACGTGATTGTACTCGATGAGTTTGATGTCTTTCTACTACGGCTGGAGTTAGTATTCTCATCGTGGTATTGCTTTAGATTTCTGTTAATTGTACTGGCACTAAAAGGAGCAACTAGTATTGATTAACATTTATGCTACATCTTAAATAAATAAGTGACTACTGATGATATAACTTGTGGAAATATCCGAGGATTTGTTGTGGACTTTAAAAAAGCAAAATATCCCTGAAGGTATGCCAGTCAGTCAGCTACAACGTAGGACCAGGCACATTTATGCATCGGTCCAAGTTGCCATACCTCGTTAGCACAACAAGATGAACACCGGATTCATAGAAGTAATTAATTTAGTGGTGGTAGTAGTATATAAATTATAGGTTGTATATAAGGATATAGTACAGGAAGGAAGAGAGATATGAAGCAATTTTAGTCTCAAGGTTTAAAGGAAGATAAAGAGTGTATACACCTACGCCATTGTGATCGATTCTGAGCCATGTCACCTAGAGTCTCCAACCGCTGGTTACGATAGTCACGTGGACCCCAACCAAGTAATCTGCATCTACCAACATGGATCAGACTAGAAGTTAGTGACTTCAAACACTGATGCCATGTTTTGGTTTGGCCGCCCCTAACTCTCTTCCAACCATCCCCAACACTAGTCATCATAGCGCGTCATGGTAATCGGTGTTCAGGCATACGTAACACATGGCCCAACCATCTCAGTCGATGAAGATTCATCACCTCATCAATTGATTTACCATCGTTCCCGAATACCCTGCGTCTAACCTCATTATTACTTACCCGGTGTTACCAGCAGATGCGAGCAATATTTTTAAGGCATCTGTGGTCAAATACTAGTAACCCACGAGTATCTTCTACTCTTAATGGCCATGTTTCACAACCGTAAAGTAGAACAGAGCGAACTGATGCGCAGTATACTCGTCCTTTAATTGATAGACGGATATCTCGTCTTCGCCATAGGTGACGTAAGTTGGCAAAAGCCAAACGAGCTTTATGAATCCGTGCTGAGATTTCGTCAGACACCAACCCATTAGGGCTGACCAGACTTCCAAGATAAGTGGAGTTGTCGACGCGTTCGACTACTTCACTCCCTATCCTTAGTTCAGGTGTTGACGCAGGCCAGTCCTGGAGTAACAATTTACATTTGGGTGGGGAGAATCGCATCCCAAACATCCTGGCATTATTACTGAGTTCCAACAGAAGACTCTGCATTTTGCCAGCGTCTTCACCAAACAGGACTATGTCATCTGCGTACTCTAAGTAGGTATGCGGAACTGACCAGTGAAGTTTCTAGCTGTTTTGGAGAGTTAGACGAGATTATTTGCAGAAGCAGACAGTAAAGAACAACAAATCTAAGGATAGGGGTTTGGGTAATCACAAAATAACAACTGAAAATCAATTGGAATCGGGTGATATGAACACTGAGAAAATATGAACGAACAGTGGCTCAGATACAGTATCGACGAGATCAAGAACTGAAAACAAGTGGAATGTCTGTTATCGAATTTGGAAAACATTAGATACATAAGTAAGAGTTTGTATTTGAGACTACAGTGCAATTCTGCATAGTCACGATGAGCCGGATAGTATTTGCTTACATTCGGTTTTTTTACTGGACGTTTCGGCCACTAAGGGTAAGATTACTCAATACACTATGAACCTGAGCAAAGAATATGTTAACATCATTAAGAGTCTTTACTATATAATGAGGCCGAAACCGGCTTGATTTCAAAGATTTTCTTACTGGAACTAGTTGAACTATTCGTAGGAGCTTCATCACTCATAGTTCTTGACTGATCGATATTATTTCGTTGTCATCACTTTTCGTCCGAAAAAACAGCTGAAGTAAGACGATATAACATAAAAAATTCGAGACTAAACAAACACATAAATTGAGAAAACGCTAATTGCCATATAACACAAGAATGGTCACGCAGCGACTCACAGGCACTCCAACTATGGAAATCTGAATTTTCCGCCTGTTTGTAGGAAACTTGAACTTCTTCACTCTCGAAATGTTTGATAATCTGAGTTATTAGGCGACTCTACTTTTCCTCTAAGGTTTCTCTGATGGTTTTGTTTTAGTTAACCGCCAAAAATGAAAGGTAAGCGCTACATAATGTGGTGGTTCTCCTTGAAGTATTTGATTAGGTTAATTGTCATTGTTGTTGGGTGCAAAAGCTAATTATTCTGCATCACTCAGTGCTTATAACAGTCTTTAATATGATGATATTGGTCTGATGATACAGACTTTCATTGTGGTAAAGTTTAAAAGTGTCAACTTTTCCACCGGTTTTATTTTATAGATCTACCGTACTTTTAGCTGCTCTTAAAATTCCTCATAATAAAGTTATGTACTTCCTAACGTAGGTTGACGAGCTGTGATGGATCATCCCAGTATATTAATCTACTGTCATAAATAATTAATCAATTCAACGTGCGCCTTCCTTTTATCTTTCGGGAGTTAATAGAACATACTTTACTGGAGTATTGTCTAAGTAGTGATGTTTTTCGGAGAGCGCAGTGTACCTAGAAAATTATTAGGTATATGTATTTTTGCTTATTTAACTGTTAGTACTCTGAATTCGCTGTAGTTAAGAATGAGACTCTGGTGGTCAAATTGCATAACATATGCATGATCCTTTTATTTGGGTACATCTACCAGACCTCACAAAACATTTAAATATTGCGAATAATACATAAACTCAGGGTCTGAAGAATTTTGTTCCTCTTTGATACTAGTATTAAATGCTAATTTATAGTAGAAATACATCGGCTTCGTACTTTGGATGGTTTTAGTACCACAATCCAATACTGAAAAGAATGTTGGTATCACTCTATATGATACTCTAGATATCTTCTCATTGTCGTTCGTTGACCGACAAAGCATACTCGCCTAACTTCTCTCTCGGTATATAAGTCTGTATAATGAGTGTATTACTCCTTTTTGAACTTCAAGTAAGCAGAATGAATAACCTTTCAAGCATCTCTATCTAAGTAATTTAAAGATATGGGATGCCTCTGTAACATTAAATCATTTTGTCTTCTGGATCCCAATGTACTCTGAGTTGAGGTAATCAGATTCTGATTCTTCAATTTATTGCGTGTTCGGATTCTAAAAATATTTTGAGTGTCTTGCATTTTACTCCAAGCTTCCAAGTCAGTAAGCTCCTGCTATAGTCCTAGATGCTGCAGCGTGTTGAACTTTTTTCTGGTGCATGTAACCAATTCATTAATATCTAGCATATAATTCTAAGCTATCGCAAGCAGTAGATAATAACTTGACTTTTCTCCAAAACTTTTTGCGGCCCGAATAGCTCAGTGGTAACGTCTCTGACTGTGAAGCTGAGTGACGCGGGATCGAATCCGCCAGGGAGCATCAGTTCCCTCAAGATTACAGGTACACCTTGCTGACGAGTGCCAAGTAGCACGAAACTCGGGTCTGCCCCCAAATGCCCTGGTACGGCCGAGAGTGGGGAGAGTCTACTCTCCCTCTCGAAATGCTCTCATATGGCCAGCGAATATATAGCCTCCGCCAGGGAAGTCCTACTCACTGCCTTCTCGTGGCGGGGGTGTTGTTTACGAAAGTGAGAGGACGAAAAGCGAATGTCCGGCGCTTTAACCGGATTGGTGGACAGGGAGGGTCCACCTAGGGGAGTTGGAAAACCCTGATTCCAAACCAATGGTGCACATGGGCTCCAGTTTCCTGATGGAACGAATGGCGGAAGAACCTGTCATTGGTCAACGACTACCATGGGACTGCATCTCCTCACGATGCTCCACTGCCTTGTGGATCAGACCTTTAGGTCAAAGGCTCCGGGTGTGGCCCCCTAAGAAAACCACCTGCTTCGGTTTGGGCACCCGGGCAGTATCACAGCCCACACACAAATGAATGAAATGACGAACTCTATTGACGATTCTATTCCTGCTCATATTATAAGCAAGACAATTTACGTTATTATTATCATTATTATTATTATTATTACTATTATTATTATTATTATTATTATTATTATTATTATTATTATTATTATTATTATTATTACTTACCATATCGCTAATTCACCCCCTTTTACCCCCAATTTGTGTAACCTTACTCTTCAACTTATGCATCAGATCGCTCTTGGTGGAAAATCTGTCCTATCTAAACGATCTCCAGTCACTGTCGGGTTGAAAGTGAATGCTTCCACCGATAATGAATACTGAGGCAGTCTTTCTGAAACCGCGTACGCCGTTCAAGCTGGCTTCCTTCAACGTTCGCACACTAATGCAGATCAGACAACAGATAGGGCTGGCTATGTCTTTGGAAGGTCTTAATGTTGATGTTTGCTGTCTATCCGAGACCCGTATTCAAGACTCTAGTGAAGTACTACAAATCCGCTCTCCATCTGTCTCGAAAAGCTTGTTCCACGTGCGCTTATCCGGGGACCCTGTGGCATCTTCGTCTGGTCTTGCTGGCGTTGGTGTCGCACTAAGCGCTAGGGCTGAGGCAGCACTAATCGATTGGTTCCCCATTAACAGTCGGTTATGTGCTGTTAGATTAGAAAGTTCCATCAAAGTGAGAAGAAACCGGCGTGAGAAACGGTGTCTTTTCGTCATCTCCGCCTATGCCCCGACAGATTGCAGCCCGGATGCAATCAAGGATGAGTTTTACCATCAGTTAACAGTTCTTCTCCAGAAAGCGCGTTCGACAGATATTGTAGTACTAGCCGGAGACTTGAATGCACAGGTCGGGCGTCTAGGCACAGAAGAGAGTCGTCTAGGTGGCCGATGGGGACTTGTTGGTCGCAGGACAGATAACGGGGACCGTTTGCTGCAACTGTGCACAGACCACAACCTGTTTCTGACCAGCACTAACTTCCGGCACAGTCATCGCCGGTGTGCCACCTGGCGTCCTCCCTCTGCATCCCAAGCCTGGACTCAGATTGATCACATCGCGATCAGCTACCGCTGGCGTGGTTGTGTACAAGACTGCCGCTCCTTTTGGAGTACCTATCTGGAGTCTGATCATGCCCTGGTCTGCGCCAGTCTCACCTTACTTTTCAGTGGCCGAAGGATTGACCACCACCAACGGATTGATATTAGTAAACTGGCTGCAACTCCTGTTGCAAGTAAGTACCGAGCGGAGCTAGCCTCTAGGCTAGCTAACACCCCACCGAAAAGTGTAGATGAGCATTGGTTGCATCTTCACGACGCCATGAAAATGGCGAGTAAAGCCGCTTGCGGCTTCGCGAAACGTCCCGCTTACAAGCACTGGGTTTCTTCTGGCTCCTTACAACTGATGGAAGCCCGTCGGTCTACTCCGGGTGGCCGTGAGTTTGACCACAAACGAAGGCTGTTACGTAATGAAATTGGGCAAAGCTTGCGTAAGGACCGAGAAGCCTGGTGGTCGGAGCGTGCTAATGAGATGGAAGCAGCAGCTGCATCTGGTAACTGCCGGAAGCTCTTCCAACTCATCCGAGCCACTGGCAGCAAGAAGTCTGGTGTGAGTGAAACAATCTACGAGGATGATGGGATGCCAATCACTAACATCTCCCGACGTCTTGGACGATGGGCGGAATTTTTCGAAGGGCAGTTCAACTGGCCTGCTGCTCCGGCAACATCAACCAGCTTGTCCTGCCCCCCATGGCCGGTGACGACTGATCCACCAAACGAGGCGGAAGTCCGCAAGGAACTCCAACTCTTGAAGCGCTACAAATCACGTGGCCCAGATGACTTACCTCCGGCTCTTTTTAAAGATGGTGGCGACTTTCTGACTAATGAATTGACTGTGTTGTTTGGAAAGGTTTGGGAGCAAGAAAGTGTTCCAACATCATGGAATGAGTCAATAGTCGTCCCTATCTTTAAAAAGGGTTCGCGTTGTTCCTGCAATAACTATCGGGGGATAAGTCTACTTCCGAATCGTCCAAACTATTGGCTTCTATCATTCTTCGTAGGTTGTTTAAAACCCGAGAACGATTGACTCGCGAGGAGCAGGCTGGTTTTCGTTCTGGTCGAGGATGCATTGATCACATCTTCACCCTCCGCCAAATGTTAGAACACCGTCATACTTATCGCAGGCCAACAATCGTAGTGTTTCTTGATATCAGGGCTGCCTTCGATTCGTTGGACAGGACTGTTCTCTGGGATTGTCTATTGAAGAAGGGTGTGCCTGAGAAGTTCATTAACATCTTAAAGGCCCTGTACACGAACACCTCAGGCAGAGTGAGGGCATACAACCACCTTTCTCCCTTGTTCCATTCGAGCAGTGGGGTTAGGCAGGGTTGCCCGATCTCACCATTCCTCTTCAACTTTGCCATCGACGACATCCTGGAAACAGCTCTGATGGATGTAAGTAATGGCGGTGTGGATCTGCTGCCTGGAGAACGACTTCTCGACCTTGAGTATGCGGATGATATTGTCTTACTGTGCGATAATGCCCAAGGCATGCAATCAGCACTTAATCAGTTGGCAATCAGTGTCCGCAGGTACGGCATGTGCTTTGCACCCTCCAAGTGCAAAGTACTTCTACAAGACTGGCAGGATTCTAATCCTGTACTCACCCTGGATGGTGAGCAGATCGAAGTAGTTGAGAAGTTCGTGTATCTAGGTAGCTATATAAGTGCTGGTGGTGGCGTGAGTGATGAGATTGATGCACGTATAATGAAAGCCAGAGCGGCTTATGCCAATCTGGGCCATCTTTGGCGCCTTCGTGATGTTAGTCTGGCTGTAAAAGGTCGGATTTACAACGCGTCGGTGAGAGCAGTTTTGCTCTATGCTTGTGAAACCTGGCCTCTCCGAGTTGAGGATGTTAGACGTCTCTCTGTGTTCGATCATCGTTGTCTCCGAAGGATTGCTGACATCCAGTGGCAACACCATGTTAGTAATGCAGAGGTTCGGCATCGTGTGTTCGGGCACAGAGACGATAATTCAATTGGTGTCACCATCTTGAAACACCGACTTCGGTGGCTTGGACGTGTTTTACGAATGTCGTCCCAGAGACTTCCACGTCGTGCATTATTTGCCGACCCTGGGACTGGTTGGAAAAAGCGGAGAGGAGGTCAGTGTATGACATGGTGTCGTGGCATGAAAGAGAGCTGCAAAGGGCTAGCTTCTGTTGGTCCTTCACGACTCCCTGGTTGGGGTCCGAGAGATGGTGCAACACAGTGGCTAGAGACGTTATCAGATATGGCTCAGAATAGAAACCAGTGGCGATCCTGCTGCAACCTTCTTTTACTTTCTACATAAAGTATGGTTCTTACTTTCCTATTTGAAAGAGTCTTCTGGTTGTACATTTTAGTCCGCCTTATCTTTTCATCCCTTCTCTTCATACTTTCATTATTTTGTGTGGCGCATATGTACCTGGTGCCCTTTTGTACCAATATATACGTGTTTAAATAAATAAATAAATAAATAATAAAGCTTTTCCACTTTCAAAAGCCTAGTACACGACTTATTCACCGGCGTGTCGTGTGGTATAAAGGTTATCAAAAGTGCTTTTCTCGTCTTATTAATTTTAGAAATAGTCTGAGTCCAGTTATTTCGCAGTATCTGAATACCTATTTGGTGAAGTTCCATCACTCCTTTTGGTCCTTTACCTGGTATCAGAAAAACCGTTCTGGACAGGTCTTAGTCATATACTTGCCGTCTTTCGTTTATGCTACAGCATCTTGTAATTGGTTTTCACATGTGGTCTTTATTTCATAACATGAATTTAAATGTCAGATGGTTAGTTGTCAAAATTAGATTCCACAGATAGGTTTTCGTCTTAATAGACTTCCTGGAGGTAATCACGGAACGAAAAATGTTTTTCACTTTTCGTGGTGTGATGCAATGCTTGTTCCGTATTTCAATCAAGTAATCTAGATTGATGAAGTAGTCTTTAAGTAGTGTCATTGCTGCTTCTCGAATCGGTGTGCTATATTTTGTGTATCTACACTTTCAATGTGATAATCGGTGATAGTACTCAGTGAAATCACTTTAGGGGAAGCATATTTCGAATTTTCAAACCATTAAAAGTTAAATGCCCTCACCACCACTCCATCTTTTTGAATCAGAGCAGACTCTGTTAGACTGGATTACAAGACAGTCGCTCTCGCGCTGTTTGAGTAAGCGACATAGTAAGAACACGAAAAGATAGGGACACACTGTTGCCTTTTATTGTCTCTGTTTGTGTCCTCAAATACCCTGGTACGACGGAGGATGGGGAAACTCCGCTTCCCCTGTTTGCAGTTAAGTTAAAGATGGACTTTATGGGAAGTTATCCAACCTCCTTCAAAAAGCTAAATTCTCTGATGTAGTACTAAATGATTTTAATGCTCAACTAGGTAAACTAAGCTAAACTGAAAGGCACTTAGGCGGACCTTACGTTATTGTGGCCCAGCGAAAAGATAATGGCTGTAGTCTATCGCAGCTGTACTTAGATAACCATCTATTTCTAGCTAATACCAACTTTTAACAGAAGGAAAAACATCGTCTGACGTGGTGACCTCCACAATCGGCTCATTAGTGGATTCAAATAGATTACATTCCCATTAGACATCGTTGAATAGGCTTGAACGAAGGCTGTCGCCCATTTTGGAGCACATGTTTAAATTCAGATCATACTAAAGTTCAAGCACATATTCGTCTTCGTTTTACTGGACGTAGGAAAGCAACAGCAAGGAAACCCCTGCGATTTTCTGCAACATAGACATACTTTTGGACGTCTGACTATAGTTGTATTCCTTGACCTTAAGGTGGCGTTCAGCTCTGTTGATCGTCTGGTTTTGTGGCAGTTTCTTTTATTGCAGGGCTCACCAATGAAGTACATTAACCTTGTGCAAGTTCTCTACTCGAACACTACTGGTCAAAACAGAGCTTATGGCAAACGGTCGTCGGAATCGGTTACTCCCGTTCTACTTTATGGATGTGAATTATGGCCATCAAGAATAAAAGATGTTCGTAGGTTACTGGTATTCGATTATAGATATTAACGAATGTTTGCTTATGTATTTTGGGACCACAGAGTAAGCGATGCCTGGGTTAGGAATAGAGTACTTGGTAAATATAGGAAATCGAGTGATGAAGTAGTAAATCTTCATCAGCTGAGGTGGTTAGGACATGTTACGTATGCAAAACCACCGCCTACCTCAACGGGTGATGTTTCCTGATGCAGCAGTAGGTTGGAAAAAAGGTAGCGGCCACCAAACCAAAACATTCCATCAGTCCGTGCAGTCATTAACAATTAGACTTAGCAATGTTAATAGGTCTAAACTACTTGATTGGGGTCCACGTGGTTATCGTAACCAATGACTAGAGACTTTGAATGACATGGCTCAAAATCGTTTGCAATAGCGTAGTTGCATCAATTCTCCATCTTTCCCGGAATTCTATGCTTCTAAATTGCTCATAACTTTTTCTTCATTTCATTAAATCATATTTTCTTGAGTCGTATCTTTTGTGCTTAATCTTTCCTATTACCACCGTTACTGTTACTACCCCTACTATTCTGGGATTCGACCTGACAACTTCATCTCTTTGTTCTAATGGGGTATGGCGATTTGAACCGACATGCATGCCAACAGGTTCCACATTGTGACTGGCTGATTCTAGTAAAGGTATCTGTAGGACTGGATGGCGAGGGCTCGATTTACTGTGTCAGTTCATTTCAAAGCTGCATGAACTTCTTGTTGGTGGGTGTCAAGTCATGCTAAGCTTAGTTTTAGGACATCTTAGTAATTATTTCCGAACATCTAACATTGGAAAAATACGCTCCTTTTATTCGTCTCATTCTGTCATGATGATTTTAATAGTGATTTTTATCCATAAAATGATCTGGCTAAAAGAAATGTTCCAATCAAAGGCTGTTGTCTCTAAATTCCATGTTGTTTAGTGGTATGTTTGCACTAAATTATTTTTGTTATTTGTCAATTTTTTAGACTTATGCGAATGGGTTGAGTTTTTTGAGGCTGCTGGTGTTCCAGCCAAACTAAGGGAAACATATGCTGGAATCTTTGTAGAACATCGAATTAACAATTCAGTCCTTGCTGATTTAGATAAGGACCACTTAAAAGATATGGGGATCACAGTTATTGGAGATATTATTTCCATACTAAAGCAATGCAAAAAAATAAGACACGAGGTAAGTTGTCTATTTTCTTCGAAGTTATTTTGTTTCAGCTATCAGTTGCACCAACTCCCGTCGTTACTTCAACTACGTCGAAAGACTGCTCATCTGAAAATAAAAAAGCTGTGTCCAAAAGTATTTAATATGTTAACTTAGCTTTATATTTAGATGTTTTAGTCCCAGTGCGTCGTCGAATGAATCCTGAAGTTGAAGGAAAATACATTGTTAAAATGCCAAAGGGGACGACTTTGAAGACTCAGAAGATTCTTGCATCAATGAAGCAAAAGAGTATGTTTATCTATTCAAATATATATATATATATATATATATATATATATATATCCTGTCAGATTTATCTGATTTATCTGGTGGTACATTACTTGTTTTCCAAGTCAAATCACTTCACAAGATGACAGAATAAAATTATGTTATACCCTAACGAAAATATCACCACGTCAAGATACCAAAGATTGGAGCAAATTTGAGAACTATGGATGAATCACAGTACTATCGGTACCAGGAAAAGTTTTCAACTGAGTGTTGCTGAACCGGATAAAAGATTCAGTAGACGTCCAGCTTCGAGATCGACAGGCCAGATTTCGTAAGAATCGGTTGTGCACAGACCAAATTGCAACACTATGGATCATTGTTGAACAATCAAGTTGATGAAACTCATCACTTTACATAAAGTTCCTTGACTATGAGAAAGCGTTTGACAGTGTGGTTAGGAGGAACTTATAGAATCTTTCTCGATACTATGGTGTACTTGAGAACATCTTCAATACCATACGGAATTCTTACAACGGACTACACCACAAATTCGTGTATGGAGGACAGCTCACAGATGCTTTCGAGGTGAGAACCGGTGTCAGACAAGGCTGTCTACTCTCGCACTTCCACTTTCTTCTGGTGTTTGACTGAATTATGAAGACCTTCATATCACCGGGAAAGCACGGCATTCAATAAACAGCTTGCATGCAACTAAACGATCCGGGCTTCGCAGATTACTTGGCCTTTCTATCCCATACATACGAACAAATGCAAATGAAGACAACTAGTGTAGCAGCAGCCTCTGCAGCAGTAGGCCTCAACATACACAAGGGAAAAAGCGAGATCCTAAAATACAATACGGAGAACATCAACCCAATCACACTTAATGGAGAAGCTCTCGAAGATGTAGGATCTTTCACGTATCTGAGTAGCATCATCGATGAACAATAAGGATCTGATGAAGACACAGAGTCGATGATTGGCAAAGCAAGGACTGCATTTCTACAGTTGAAGAACATATGGAAACCAAAACAACTGTCAACCAATATCAAAGTCACAATTTTCAATACGAACGTCAACACAGTTCTACTGTATGGAGCTGAAACTTGGAGAACTACTACAACCACCTTCGGAAAGGTACAAGTATTTATAAACAATTGTCTACGTAAGGTACTTGATGTCCGGTGGCCGGATACCATCAGGAACAGCCTACTGTGTCAGAACGAACAAACTCTCAGATGAGAAGGAAATTAGGAAAAGACGTTAAAATTGGATAGGACATAAATTTCGGAAATCACCAAACTACATCACGAGGCAAGCGCTAACTTGGATTCCTGAAGGGAAACTGAAAAGTGAAAGACCAAAGGACACACTGCGTTGGGAATCGGAAACAAGCATGAAAAAATGAATAGCAACTGGAAAAAACAAAGAAAGGACTGATCAGGACGTGGTTGGATGGAAAGTGCTGTTGGACGGCTCATGCTCTTCTATGAGGGTTAACAGGCGTAAGTAAGTATTGAAAGTGTACTCATTAGTATAGACTGGTCACATCTCATGCTATCTAAGTAATCACGTTAGAAGTGTGGATATTCATTGAACATAGTAATTGTAAGTCATAGTGCTTATCAGGTTGTTATAATTACGAGGGAATTTTAGCCAGACTCTGGAAAGTTTTGTGTTCTTATTGCAGATAGGTTCCTTTAACATTCTTGTATTGGAGAAATAAATTAGTGGTTAAGCAATCTAACCGAGTCACTGGGTTGATGGTTCGAACAACAGTTCATCCACGTTGGTTTGTACATCTGTATACATGAACCTGTACTTGAGAATTCATCAGTCCTGTGTTAGGTAGATTAGTTTACTTGTGTGGCTAGTATTGTCTAGTTCGACTTGTATAGTAGTTTGTACACTTTCATGGTGCAGGCGGCCTGTTCAAACATCTGGGCTACTTGTTCCTGTCATCTAGATATTTCAACAAGTTATCTGATTTTCTTTGTTTTAATACATCATTATGCCTATTAATCGCACAACCTATTCAGGTGCGTGTCTAAAAAGTGTAAGACCTTTCGCTGTAAAGGTTACAGAAGGCTTAATCAGAGATATCGTGGTTGCTGACAATATGCAGCGACAAGAATGTACATTATCCAGATGTCGATTGACTGGGCTGCTAACTTCTAACCGGCGATCACCCAATATTTATCGTCAGGAAGGACGAAGAAGTAAGAAACGGAAACTTGTTGAAGTACTTTGTGCTGAGAATTCTATATTGTACCAAAAATATAATATTGAATAAAGCTAATAATAATAATAATTATAATAATAATAGTTCTTAAATGGATATTTATCGTGACAACTTTATATCGAGTAGTGTCTGTATATATTGTGTAGTATTCTATTTTTTTATTTAAATTTCTTTACATTATTTTAGACAGTGCAAAGTCTAGTCAACCTGAAGTTGCCAAAGCCGCCAAAACTAATGAACCTCCTGTATCGTCTACCTTTGAAGACAGCGATGCCGATGATTGTGATAATTATCGTGTTATCATCTCTAAGTAATTAACTCCAATTTACTTTTCTGTCGTTTACATATTTTACGTTGAAAACCACATAACTGTGGAGTTGCAATCGGGATTTCAAAATTATTCTAACTCTAAACTAAAATATATTATCATTATCAGGATTTTATTGAGGCACTAACGCTGTTAGTTGGTGTTGGGTTGTACAGTGTATTGCTTTGATGCTAATATTTATTTATTTAAACACATACATATTGGTACAAAAGGGCACCAGATACATATGCGTCACACGATGCTAATATGCCATCTTCCTATACACGAACCCTACCGGGTACTCTAATGAGAAAGAAAGTTCAGTGACTAACCGAATCTTCATGTTTATATATATATATATATATATATATATATATATATATATATATATATATATATATACTTTAGAAAATCAATCCACAAATGGTTTATTTCTCATTCTTAGGAAACGTAAGCCACTTCCCGTTTAATCATGTGTACTTATCATTTTGCCGACATCTGATGTGCTCAGTGTATCAGTTGATTTTCACTATTCCCTTTTTTGAAGAGGAAAAATTATAATCTTTATAGTGAAGTAGGCTTCATTAGATAAATTCCGGTTAATTTCAGGATTTAAAAATGAATCCAACGTTTTATCGTGTATGATACTTCTCGTTAGCGCGTTATCTTCATCACAGCTCTTTGATTATTCACATCTGAACTGAATTTATGGGTTCGTACATCATATCAGGTTCATTAGATGGTGTGATAATTTACCACAAACACAAAAATGTGCTTTCTCAAGTTTCCGCCGTAGAGTAGCTCATAATACAATGGTGCATAGTTTATTTTCTTCTTAGTAGTTAGTAGGTTGCTTCACCTATATTGTATATTGTTTGGGTTGGCTAAATCCAACAGAACCTCTTTGTTTTCCCGAAGATTACTCTAGTCGCTATCCCATCATCACTTCGCTTGTATTTTATATTCCTAATGAATCTAGGCAGTGTCGTAGGATCACTAACCTTTATTAAGTAGGTGTAGTCTGAATACAAGTTAATTTATGATTAATTACTAGCACCAGCATGCTGTTTCAGCAGTTGAATCACTACTGACATTCTACTGATCATCTATACAGATTTCGTTCCATCTTCGATTTATGTACTATTATCTGAATACAAATATTGGTATAAGGAAGCACCAAAATATGTATGCGCCACATAATAAGAATAATATTGTGAAGAGATAGAGGAAGGGAAGTGAGTATAATGACGAAGAAGAACAACAAACTAGTGTATAAGAGTGAAATAATAGTAATAATGAGAGAAGCAATCTAGCCAAGAAACATACAAACAGAAAGAATTATTTCAGTTGGAGGAGTCACGTCCACTTTTACGAAGAAAGTCACAACAGGATCGCCACTGTAATACACCATCTCTGAGATCTCAATCAGGGAGTCGTGAGGCACCAACAGAAGCCAGTCCTGTACAGCTATCCTTCATACCTTGACACCATGTTGTGCACTGACCACCTCTCTGTTTTTTCAACCAGTCTCAACGTTAGCAATTAATACACGATGTGGAATTAGCTGAGATGACATTAGTGGTACATGTCCAAACTACCGAAGTCGGTTTTTCGAAGTGTTGACACCGATTGAATTATGTTCTCTGTACCCAAACACACAATGCCGTGCTTCTGCATTACTAAAATGGTGTTAACACTTGATGTCAGCAATCCTTCGGAGACAACGATGATCAAACACAGAATGGCCAGGTCTCACAAGCATGGAGCAAAACTGCTATCGCCAACGCGTTGTATACTCGACCTTTTACAACCAGACTAACATCACGAAGGCGTTAAAGATGTTCCAGATTGACATAAACCGCCCTGGCTTTCTTTATATGTGAGTTGATGTCATCACTCACGCCAACACTTATGCAGCTACCTAGATACACGAACTTCTCGACTACTTCAGTCTGCTCACCATCCAGGGTGAGTACAGGATTAGAATCCTGCCAGTCTTGTAGAAGTACTTTGCACTTCGAAGGTGCAAAGCACATACCATCCTTATGGGCACTGATTGCCAACTGATTAAGTGGGGATTGCATGGCTTGGGTGTCACCGCACAGTAAAACAATATCATCCACATACTCAAGGTCTAAACGTTTCTCCAGGCAACAGATCTACTTCGTCATTACTTACGTTTATTAAATAAGAAAAAGGGAATTCATCGAAGATTTTCTTTTCGACGAAATCATTTACTTAAGCCGTACATCCGTAGATATAGTTATATGGAGAATATATGTCTACCGGAGGCTAGGAAAGATTGCATTATAAATTTATTCGACAATAAATAATCAGTCAGTCACAACGTAGGACTTCGTACGTACGTACATCAGTTCGAGTTGCCATACCACATTAGCACAGAGATGCAGTTGTCGATTCAAATCCCATAGTGGTAGAAGTAGTAGGAGTATAATCAGAAATCCAAAAGATTAGGGTTTGAAGAAATTATTGAAGGAGTATAGTACAGTGAAATAAATTTGGAAAGAGAAAAATATAAAGACATGAGGAATTCAGAAGATTAGAATTTGGTAGAACACAAAGAGTGGATGCACCTTCGCCATTGCAAACGATTTTGAGCCATGTCATTCAAGGTCTCCAACTATCGATTGTTATCATCTCACGAATCCCAACCAGGTAGTCTACACCTACCAACATGGCTCAGTCCAATTGTCAGTGACTTCATTGATTTGTGCCACGTTTTGGTCTGGCCGCCCCTAGCTTTCTTCCAACCTACTCCTACACCATGAAACATTGCACGTCGGGGCAGTCGGTGGTTGGGCATACGTGACACATGTCCCAGCTATCTCAACTGATAAAGTTTCACTACTTCATCAATCGATTTGCCATCCTTACCTAGTACTCGTTTCCTAACAACTGCATTACTTACCCGGTGGTCCCAGGATATACGAGCAATGCTTCGAAGACACCTGTGATCAAAAACAAGTAGCCTACGAATATCCTCTACTCTTATCGGCCATGTTTCACTACCATAAAGTAGGACGGAGCGAACTGCTGCACAGTAAACACGTCCTTTGGTTGCTAGATGGATATCTCGCCTACGCCATAAATGACGCAAGTTGGCGAAAGCTAGACGAGCCTTCTGTATCCGTGCTGAGATTTCGTCTCACACCAGACCACAAGGGCTGATGAGACTCCCAAGATAAGTGAAGTGGTCTACACGCCCAACTACTTCACTCCCTATCATTAGTTCAGGTGTCGCTGCAGCCCAATCCTGAAGTAACATTTTGCACTTCCAGGGAGAGAATCGCACTCCGAACATGCCTGCATTGTTGCTTATAGTGGTCAGAAGACTCTGCATGTTGTCAGCGTCTTCACCAAGTAAAACTATGTCGTCGGTGTATTCTAAGTCAATAAGTGAACCTCCCGGTAAAAGTTCAACTCCTGGAGGTTTAGCTGATGAAAGCGCTATCTTTAAAAGTATGTCAACGACAAAGTTAAACAAGAATGGGAAGAGTGGACAGCCCTGACGAACACCACTTGAGGTAATTAATTCTGATGACAGTTCGCCATAGGCTCTAACTCGACCAGTAGTGTTCGAGTAGAGAGCCTTTATGAGGTTAATGTACTTCTTTGGTACTCCTTTCAGTGACAAACACTTCCATAGAACCTTACGATCCACGGAGTCAAATGCCGCCTTAAGGTCAAGAAATACTACGATTGTGGGGCGTCTGAATGTGTGTCTATGTTCTAGGACCTAACGTAGGGTGAATATCTGGTCTATGCAACCACGTCCAGGTCGAAAACCAGCCTGGTTTTCTCTAGTCTGCTCTTCACGAGCTTTGGTTAGGTGACCTAGTATTATTGAAGCTAATATTTTAGACACTATATTAGTCAAACTGATCCCTCTGTGATTGTCACAGGACTTTTGTCCTTTCTTATAGACTGGCACAATCAGTGATTGGGACCAGCCAGATGGAATTACGTCCAGTTCCCAGATTCTATCTAAGACCTCAGTCAATCTCGCTGCTAATACTGGACCACCATCCTTAAAAATCTCAGGGGTCAACCTGTCAGGGCCTGCTGCTCTCCCTCGCTTCAGATTTCCTATAGCTTTTTCAACCTCGCGGAGGGTTGAAGGACTTACATCAATTTGCCATTCAGGACGACTGGGGATCGTGGGTAATTGAAGTGTGGCTAAAGGCCAGTTGAACTGATCCCTAAAGTGTTCTGCCCATCGAACCAATCTCCTGGATTGAGAATGAATGATATGCCCATCTTTATCTGAGATGATTTCGCTGATACTTGGGTTCCTAATACCGGTTTCTTTAACAAGTCTGAATAGCTGCCTACTGTTACCTATTGCCGCTGCCTTTTCCATCTCTCTTGCTTTCGCTACCCACCACTGTTCACGAACATTACGTAGGCTTCTTATTAGCCTGCGCTTAAGTTGACTCCGCTCTTCGTTATGTTCAGAGCCAGGTGGGATGAGTTTTCGAGCATCTATCAGTGCGGTAGATGCTGCCGAGATCAATTGTTTCTCCCTAACTTATGGTTTACCTTACTAGCGGATATCACTGCTGATTCCACAGCTTTTCGGATGTCATTCCACGCTGCCTCGGGATGGGCACAACTTACATTGCTGCCTAACTGTTTTTCTACTTGTTCCTGAAATATATTCTTAGTTAACCTATCATTAAGTAGAACCCTTAGAGGCTTCCCTGCATTGTCTTTCCTACGTCCAGTAAGATGCAGACAGATACGTGGTCGCACTAGAGCATGATCTGAATCTAAACATGTGCTCCAGAATGAGCGACAGTCTTCTATCGAGCCCCTCCATCGGTGGCTGATAGCGATGTGATCTAATTGGGTCCAACATTGGGACGAATTCGGGGGTCGCCATGTCAAAAGATGTTTTTCCTTATGCTTAAAGTTAGTATTTGCAAGAAATAGGCGGTTATCTGAGTATAGCTGCAACAGACGGTCGCCATTATCCGTTCTTTTAGCCATGACAGCATAAGATCCACCCAGGTGTCTTTCCCTTTCACTTAGTTTACCTACTTGAGCATTAAAGTCACCTGCTACTATTACTACATCAGAGCGCCTAGCTTCTCGGAGAAGGTCAGAAAGTTTCCTGTAGAACTCATGTTTTATATCGTCTGAGCTGCAGTCAGTGGGAGAGTAGGCAGAGACGACGAAGAGGCAACGACGAGTTTCCCTGTCTTTCCGAGTCCTTACTGATCCGTTTAGTCGGACAGCGCATAGACGACTGTCTACTGGGATCCAGTCTAAAAGAGCTAGTTCTGCCCTAGGACTTAATGCTATACCTACGCCAGCGAGGCCACGGGAAGCAGCGTCAGGGCTTCCAGATACACGAAGCGTGTATCGAGATGAATCTTTATTTTGATTAGGTGAGGTCAAATGAATGACACTACTCGGATCTTGTATGCGCGTTTCGGAGACGCAGCACACATCGATGGTGTAAGATTCTAAAGTCCTAGCTAAGGAAGCCTGTTGTCCTACTTGGCACAATGTTCGGACATTAAAAGTTCTTACATGTAGTTTAGATCGTGGTTTCAGAAGACCAGGAATAACGTTCCGTGTACTCGAATCGTTTGCCCTAGCGGTGCGAGGTGATAAAAGGATGTCGGCGGTAGCATTCAACTTTCCCCCAGTCAATGAATTGAGATTGTTTAGATCGGACAGGGTTTCCACCATTGACAAGGAACTGTATAAGTTGAAAAATAAAGGAATACACAAAACGAGAATAAAAGAGAGTGTAATCTTTTACTTGTATATAAATTTATATATCCTGTAAATTTATTATTTTACCACAGAACTGATCAAAACGGATTTGATTGTTTTGATGAATAGTACCATTTTACCTAATATTTTTAGCTTACCTTCGTTATTCAATGTCACTCTCATACCATTTCTCCAGCTTTTGACCTAAAGGTCTAATCCACAAGTCCGTGAAACAGCGTCAGGAGATGCAGTCTCATGGTAGCCGGTGGTCAACAGTAGATTCATACGTCATTTGTCCCCTCTATATTATTAAGGTCATGCTTTACATCGGTTTCTGTTTTCCAACCCTGCTGGATGGATCCTCTATTCCTACCAACTCGGTTAAATCGCTTTTCGTCCTCTCGGGTTCGCGAGCAACACCCCTCACCGAGATAAGGCAGTGAGTAAGACTTCCCTAGCAGTGGCTGTATACGCATAGTCACATCAGAGGATTTCAGAGAATGGGTGGACTCTTCCCACCTCCTGTACCAGTTCATTTGAGAGCCTTATACTTATTATCTTCATACAACAAGTATCGCTCAAGCAAATCATAGGGACTTCTACTTAACTTATGAGTTGCAATGTTTAAACAGTTCATCCATTAATCTACCAAGGTTGATGGGAGTTTGTCTTAGTAAGTAGAACAGTCCTACTCTATCAAATGTGCTAAACGATACATGAAACCATTTCAGTTAGAGTATTTATTTCCTGTTCCATTCAGTACTTCGTACGTGAGGTTCATGATTTATCTTAGCTTTTCAATAGTCAATTTTGCTTTTCTGTTTCTTATATTTGTAACATTATTCTTAAATAATTGTTTTTTGTTTACTTTCACCTTGAATATTAGATCGAATACACATGGTTCCACATCTAGTGATTCAGTATTCAGTCGTTTAGGTAATGCTGTAAATAGAGAGGATTCACCTACAAGTGTGCTTATAAAAAAAACGATAGATCCATCTGCTGCAATGCAACGTTTTATTCGTTGGAATTTAAATGACAACAGTCATGGATCACCTTTTCGTCCTCCACCATCTGTTACAGAAACCATGATGAGCTCATCGGAGGATTCTTTGAATTTTAAAGTTGTTAAACAAGTTAGCAGTCTTACAAAAAACGTTGATCAGGCTATTAAATTAAGAACACCCCTTAAACGTCATGTAAGTGTTCATTTTCTGTGTCTCTCACCAGTGTATATAAATTTATATCTCTCTTTCAGTAAGAGAAGATGGTAATTGTTGATTGACGGTTCTCTCTCTTTAAAAAATAATTTTGTTTTAATCATCGATTAACTGTAGTGTCAAGTCAGTACATTTAATCGGAAAACATTTTAACCTCTTAAGTTTTTGACATGCTTTCAGTGAAGGGTAATGATAATAGCTGTTTGTCAAACTAGAGTTAATAAGGTGCAGTTTCAATGTTCGGCTTTGTGTTTGAATGATATGTTCTTCAACTAATTAACCACTATGTATTCTTTTAGAAGCTGATATTCATTACCGGTTTATACCAGGCTTGTGTACCACTTTGTCAGAAAACCATTGCAAACTACGTAAAGGCGTTAAGTAATATATTTTTAGATGCAGTTGTCAACTCAGCTATGAGAGCTTTCTGTTAGGAATACCTCAATCTCCTCGTTCGAGGCAATATTAACTCATTCAAAGGCATATAAAGACAGAAATCATACATCAGTCATTGTTTTTTGTTCTTAACTTAAACTTCATTTGTTTACATCTTATTTGTCCTTATTATTTATTTAATTATCATTGTGTACACAGGCTTCTGATACGGTATTTAGTCGTTTAAGTACTCCATCAACTACTATGCAATCAAATGATCAACTTTCTTACCAAGGAATTTTGAAGAAGTCACGTACGCAACCTCCTAAATTTAACGATGAATCGATGTCTCCATGTTCTCTAAATAGCTTTCTTTCTCCATACACCGAAGGTGTACTTGGACAGAGTCGTATGCAAAAAGTTTCTGTTAAAAACCGCTTAGGTAATTGATTTATTCATTTAAGAAATTTGTTTCACTTAATTCTTATGCCATTCTTTATTTTGTGTACAAAATATGAGCTTATTGAAGATAAATTGAGATTTTTCCCTGTTTTATCGATCGTCTGTTACTATAATCTCTATTTCAACATGATAGGTGAAGCAGTTTTTTATTTTATGGCAATTAAACGTTTAATAGCCCCACCTAAATTTTTGGTGTAGTTCTATGACTTAGCATTGTGTTCACCCACTAAACCTGTCGAAACTATTTGCCTGCTCACATCAAAGTCAATAGATTTTATACACTATTGATCAAAAATAAGATCCATAGACGTCTGTTTTAAGGCCTATATTTGTTATAACGTGTTACCGAGTGGATGCCCTGTTAATGTATAACCTGACGATGCCGCCAATCAGAGAGTAATGAATTATCATTCGGACCAATGACACGAAACCCGTATGAGCAGTCTAGAGTACTTGTCGGCCCTGCTTTTTGCCTACCCCAGCCAGTTAAGTCCAGAACACCAATAACAGCCTCTGTGATACGAATCATTTATTTCAAGCATAATGGGTTTATATACCAATGAGATAGACTACATCGTACCATAAAATAGAAAATAACATTTGTACAAGATTCAACCAAAAGTGTCTGTGGTTAAGAGGAACAGTAAGTAATAGACTGGGCATAACTCAGGAATGGTTAGTCGTATAGTAATAGTCTATGGGTCAAAATAAAGCTTATAATAAGAGGGACATGGATATGAGTAGTTTAGTCAGTTAACAATTGTACAGTAAAAATATATGTTCAATAATTGTCAAAAGTTACCATTCATAATTCTCCTCGGGATATAAAAAGCTTAGACTATAAAGTCTGTTATATGTAGTACATTACTATTCTGGATGAATTTAATTTAGACTTACTTCAATCTAGGTCTAGAAGATTTACTTCAAAGATTTTAGTGAGATGTGTTAGTAGAATTTGAGTCATAAAGAGCTGATTACTTTATTAAATTATCAAAAGTTTGTCTCCCCAATCTTTTGGTTTATCTTGTGAACCCTTACCTCTGTAGCGAATCGTTGAATGGTAATGAAAATTATTATAGGCTCACAATGATATTGATGTTCGAATGCTTAGTGCACATCGGTGGTGCATCAATTTGGCAGTTGGTTTTTCGCCTAAGGGTTACTTGTTTCACCGGGTTTAGATTGATATTAGTTAGATTACACCTATAAATAATTTTTTTACACATTCGTTACAAAATAGGTTGAATTTACGTTTTATCATCGTAGAAGTAAATGAAAAATATTACATTACTGCAAAAAAGGATTTCTTCCAAAACTCAAAGAAAATTAATTGTTTATTAAATTCATTGCTAAATCCCTCATTTCAATAGACTGCCTTCCTTTATGAGATGATGAAGAAAATTTGTAGCTCAGGTAGATGATTTTGACTTCTACCTGAAGTTCGTGCTGATGATATCGTTCAGAATAACGATGGTAGCTCTACGACCAAACCATCCAGCTCAGAGAACAAAACATAAAAATGCTTTCCTTTATATTTTAGATAATTGTCAATGTGACTACTTATAAGTAGTCAAGTTTAGTTTCCCTTTTTTACGAATTTAGGTGTGCGGAGCTTCATGACATTTTCTTATAGCTTTTAGGAAATTCCCTTATGGAAGCCGATATGTAAAATACGCAATGCTTTGTTTGTCAGCAGAAATGCTTCTATGTTCTACAAATATGTGTGTTATTTTGATATTGGCATGTTAATGCAGGAGTGGTTGCTTGCATTGTCTGTTTTTACCCGAAGGTCCAGATACCATAAAATTACTTTATCAAATCATTCTAATGTCAGTCTTTTTGGTAAGAAACTATCACACAATTATTTTATCATTTTTTGTATATATATTCAGTTTAATCAGTGTATAGTCTAATTTTCTAATTTATACAAGGACGATTTTTCCCATTAATATTTTCTTTATATTTTAGGCAACAGACAAGGAAAGTCTAACGCTCCAGTTCATTCTAGACTTGGTCGAGCATCTAATCCATTATAAATAATTTGATTGTCATGACTTTCACTGAACTTAGTGTATATATACATAAATATATTCTGCATACCACAAAATATAATTTTACTTATCCATTTAATTGTTTTCTATTCACGTGAAAGTTACTAGATTTCCTTTTAAGTACTTCAGTGAGCAATTCAGTGTATATATCATATCGAGTTATTTCGTAAATAGGCTATTTTACAAGTTCTCATGTAAGTTTGCTATTAAATTTCTTCAACTTGATTTCTAAAATCTGTATGCAAATATATGTGCATCAAACGCTGCACAGCTGAATCGTCTATGTATGTATATGTATCTGTATATATCATCTGTATTGGGATTATTTATATTCGTTCGTGTTCGTTTACCATCTGTCCACGAGATTTGATTTTAATTTGCAAACAAGTAATTTCACTCAGGCAAATTTGCGTTGAGTATGTTAGGAAGTCTCGTTTTTTAATTTTAGCGGTTATTTGAAGGGTTAAGTGGTCTCTTTGGTGATACCGTCAACAACGACTACAGAGAACTGTAAAACTTAATGCACATGAGTGAAGTAGTAACATTTGGACTTGGTAGAATATACGTATATTTGTGATATTTAAGTGACCGATATTCTCTATAAAGTGGTAAATAAACTGGATTGTAATAGCTGTTTGTGGATCCACCTTAATGATTATGTTCAAGGATCTATTAACCTAGTTTATTGGTCATCAACATTGATGACTAAGCTACATAATATACTACCAAACTTTTTTTGTGGCATTTATAGTCAGATTATTTTCAGTCACTCATCATTATGTAGTTAACGAAGCCTAAGGTGGGGTTTATTGTTTGACGAACAGTCACACAATGGTTTGGTAAAATGTAAAAATCATACATCGTTTGAACATCTTTAAATTGTCTCTTACAAACTTTATTGTCCCTTCATTCATGTTGTGGTCTTGATTGTTTCCAGTTTCCTTCTCTTCATTTCAATTTTCTCAGCAATCTGCTGCCAGGCTTTCCACTCCTGATTGGTGTTATATACTACTTATATCAACAGACATAAGTAGCACACACCACGATAATAATAATCCTAGGTGTCAGTTTCACACTAAACTTAATTCTTGAGTTTGTAAAAGCTAACTAACCGTATGAAGCTACTTAATTTCAAGCCTGGGTGGTGCCTGACTCTCCTGAATGTGGGATTGATCTGTACTCCTTGGTCTAAACCTGGGCGGTGTCTGGCTCTCTTGCGAAACGGGATTGAGCTGAATTGTTTGTTTGAATCTTTCCATTGATGTTTAGGACTGCAACTGGTCAGTCTCTAATTAGTATATGTGCATACTGTGCGTATTGCCTCAATATAACCCTTAATTCACAAGCAAAGATGGATAGTGGTTATCAGTGGAATCCAGGACACGCGTTTCGTCCTATTTGGCACTCGTCAGAGACTGATCAATTGCAGTTCTAAACGTCAATGGGAAGATTCAAACAAACAATAATAAATTATTTTAAGCTTCACCCCATTGCACAAGCAAGTGGCTATCAGGACTCAGTAGCTGAGTGAATAACGCGATGGTGTTTGAAGCGAAAGTTACTGGGTTCGAGTCCCAGAGTGAACATCAACTTTGAGACGCAGTTACGTCCAGCTGATGAGTCCCGAATAGGACGAAACGCGTGTCCTGGATTCCACTGCTAGCCACTATCAATCTTGTACTGTTTGTGTTGTCACGTGGAAGTCTGGATGGTGTCCAGTGGTGAAAACAAATGTGAAGTTACTCCATCCCATAAGGTCATATTATATAACTTATATAATTGTGAACTTTAATATCAGTACAATATTTAACAATAATGATGATATTGTAAATAAATTGAGTTACTTTAATTTTGCTTAGATGAAAATATTTTTATGTATAAAAGTGATAAGACGGGAAAGTGTATGAAGTGAAACACTAGTGTAACATTATAATAGAACATTAGTCGGAACCTCACTTATAAAGTGAGACAACTATTCGCACTTTTCTTATTTTATTGTTTATTAATTATATTAACGTTATTCCACTCTGATTACTTGGTTACAATTTATGTATTGTTAAACATACTCATCATACCAGATGTAATTCACCTTGTATAAACTTACTCAGTTTAATCGAGAGGAAACTTTTTTCTTTTTGGAAACTAAGGAACGACTTGTATATACGAAAAGTAATTTCAAATAATCTTATCTTATAGAATATAATTTATTCCCTTTTACTTCCTATCAAAACTATTCATAATAATTTCTATGCAGTAAACTGATTAAAAGCCATAGAACTAAGTTTTTTTTTAAAGTTTTTATAACCATCCATAGTCTACTCTTATGTTTTTTATTTATTATTTGCCATCATTTTACGAAGTTGTTTTCATTACGGATTATGATTAACATTTATGGGAAAAAAATGTTTTTCTTTTTTTTTTGTTTTTTGGATCTAATCTTTATAAAGAACAAAAAGAAATGTATACACAATAGAACAGAAAGTTTTGATATATATATGAGTTTATTCTAGATGAACATTTGAAAAATATTATGTTTTTGAATGAAGAGTTATATAAATTGGATGTTTGTTTGTTTGTTTGTTTTTCAGCTAACTTGAAATTTTGTTTGTTTATTTAATCAATTGTCTGTTCAATGTTCCAGTGTTACAGAAATTGTACATTGTTACTATGATAAAAAATAATAAATACCATCAATAATACATAACAGTAATAGTAGTCCATGTGTAATAATATTATATAACTTGTTTATTCAGTAACATATAATATTTCAGATTTTGTATGATCATTATGTTTATTACGTTTTCTAAAACGTAATAAACGATTTGATAAAGCTGTTTTAAATGATCCAGTTAATATAGTATACACAACAGGATTTACACATGATGCAGCAAATGATAATGTTTGTGATAATAATTTTGCTATTTTCATTGCTGGTACAAATGGAAAACTAGCTTCATCAAAAAAGAACCATGAATTAATTATATGTGTTGGTAACCAACATACACCCCATAAAGTAGTAACTAATACAACTAGTTTAGTTGCTTTAGAACGTAAACGTTTTTTCTTTAATTCTCTTGTAGCACGTATTAATTCATTTGGATTTTGTTGTATATTTTCATGGAAATCACATTTTTGTATAGAATTTTTTGTACTAGAACGATACCCAGTTCCAATATTACTAGTTGTATTAGTATTATAATCTGATATTGTAGTATCACCAGATGATTGTTGTTCTAAATGTTGTTGTTGTTGTTGTTGGCGACGATGATGAGGATGATTTTCATAATTGTGGGAAATATTTTCATGTATCTCATCAGACCTATGTGATCCACATTGTTGTTGTATACTAAATAATCTTCGTTTCTTTCCTAACCAATTTGTTGATTTTCGACTTGAATTAAATGATTCATTAGTGTTACTGATATTATTGGTAATACTGCTATTGTTGTTTCTGGTATAAATCGAACTGTCATGCAAAGAAGTACGTTTTAATTTGTTTGCTTCTCGTTCTGCCACATTCTGTAGATAAGAAGGAAGAAATGGATGTTTTAGTACAGTTTTTTTAGTGGAATAGAAAATGAAGTGTGGATCTAATTAAAAATGGACAGGAAAGAAGACTAGTAGATAATTAAATTCATAGTGTCAATAATGTTAAGTGATTTCTAAAGTTTATTTCTTGGAAAAGAGAATCTTGTTTGATCTTTGGCTTAAATTTGAACGGACAATGTCAAAATGAAATGTACTAAATTATCGTCCATTTCGGTCGCTTAAGTTCTTAAAAGTAAAGTTTTATATCAGAGTAATCGTGTTTAATACATTGTAGTTTATATTTAGGAAACGAAATGGTGAAATTATTGTTTCTAATAATTAATTTGAGTAAACTACTTCAAACTTTCATAGATTTTCGATCACGAAATGATCTTAGCTGGACCAAGATTGGGAATTTGAGGGGTCGTTTCGTCCTAGTATGGGACTTCTCAGCAATGCGCAACCACGACCTCGCACGTTGTGTTCGAATCCAGAACGTCAGGTCTTGCGTGACAGATCCTAACCTCTGGACCACTGAGCCGGCACCCAACTACAATCGCCAAAAATCCCCTACACCTTTAACAGTCAGAAGTTCATTAGGGATTGGCTCTAAGATGTAACTCCTTAGATTCCAGCGAAAAGCCGTGACCAGTGAATTTCAACGATATTTGGTGTGAGACAGTCATTCACAGCAGACAGTGGGTGAAAGGTTACGCAAAATCATGGGTTAACTATAGTTAGACAATGTACACCGTTGAATGCCGGCTCAATGGTCTAGAGGATAGCGTCCACACAGGGAACAGATTCTTGGGCTCGAGTCCCGAGTGTGAGATTGTGGGAACCCACTACTTAGGAGCGCTATACTGGGACAAAATGGCCGTTCAGCGCCTTCAGGTCTTCGATAGTAGTCTAGCTCAGGTCGACTCGTGATTTCAACTGTGCAAACGTATATTATTTGAGTAGATGAACCGTGTGTCCATATGTCTTACATTTCTTATTCAGTGAAAATATTATTTATTCACATATAACATCAACATTCGGTTTAATTTTTACACATGTTATTTAAGGATGGGAAAACTGTCACAAATTTAATCAAAAACAGTGAATACTCAATATTTAAACCAAAAAACAACTTGAAAAATTGTTATGACAGTATTTGTTTTTCAAAATAATTTAGATCCCGTCAACTACGTGTCAGTTTTTGAGTAATGTACATACGTGCTTACTGGAATGAGATTAGTTCAAAAGTAGCAGACTGTAAATTTTAGGTTTACAACTAATCATATACTACTGACACGGAAAACGGTAGGATTAAACTATACTGCCGAGCCAATCAGAAGCTTTCGCGGGTTTTCAAGGTCACGGCGCTAAGTTCGGCACCTGATGCTTACGTACGGTCGGTTTGCAGCGGATTTTAGGGAAGACGTAATAATTTAGCGTCTACAATAGAAGTGATCATAAGATTTTGGCGCGAAATTCAATTATCCATTTGGATAAATAGAGTTTTGGCATTATAGCTGATGTCAGTTCGTGATGAAAACTCTAAGTATAATTCCTAGCCTTAATCATGAACTAGAAATCATAATTTGAATTCTTCACACAGGTTTGTAACCCTCATTTGGTCTTAGTTATTATGTTGACACTCTCAGAGTCACTCTAGCGTCGCTCAAAGGTTGTCCATAACTTATAGTCTCACCTATAACCCCTAACCCTACACCTAAATCTTAACTCTAACCCTAACCCGTAAACCATACCAATATACTAACATTATTGAAGCTATGTGGTCGGGGCTAAAAGAATTTTTGAGACCTTATCATGGTTTCAGAGGTCGACTACTATGGAGCCATATGGATGTGTTCCTGTACCGTATGCACTAAGATTTTAAAACTTCTGAACCTATATCTGACCTTGAGAAGTTTTTGACCTATGTAAAAGAAGTGTTTCCACTTTAATTCTTTGGTTTTGTATAATATATTTTTACTGTATACTATCTGTCTTCTGATTGGCTAATATTTCTCAAGGTCACTTAAAATTCGTTCAAAGGTCGGCAGTATAGTTTAATGTTACCCGGAAAACTAGTAATGTAAATGAATAATACAAAGAATGAGTTTCCTAATATCTGTAATGCCATCACGAACTAAGTTTCGTTAGGAAGCTATTTAAAACCTCAGATTTATTACTTATCATTTCCTCTCATTCTTTTACTACTTAACAGCACGTACCTACGATACTTTATAAAACCCTAGTTCAAGTTTCTCAGCAAATCTATACTAGTTAAACATTCAAACAATCTGGATGTCACTTTAGCCTATTTTAGTGTATGACGCAATCATCATGCAAATAAATTGATAAACCATTGTCTTACCTGCTACATGATTGTTTCCATTGATCACGGTTTTCTACTAGGGTTCTATCAAATTTCTCAAATTTATTATTCATCGCTACGTTCCAAGTTTGTTATAAACTGTTTTTAAAAGCGTTCGGTAGTAACTTATCATGTTGACATTCCTTGACTTCATTTAGTTCATTCATATTACCCTTTATATGTAATTTACCATTGGTTTGTTTAATGCATCTTTTTGCTTATCTTAAGTTGTCTATGACTGAACAAAAAAAATCGGTGAGACTATGATTTATAGACGACGTTTGAGCGACACCGGAGCAACCTTGAGAATGTTCACCTACTTACTAGATCTAAACGAGGGTGAACAATTTGTTTATAATGAGAATAAAAGTTGTTGATTTAAAAGGTGGGTGAGTGATGAGCGATTGTAGTTGATAGTTCTGGTATATTGGAGAGTACCGTTTTTTTGCGTATTATAGTAAAAAATTTATGAAATTTGTAAGAAAACAAAGATGAAGCATTTTGCTTCCAACTTATTGAACTCACTTATACTTAAATAAAGAACGTGCCATAGGAGATGATATGTGGTGGGAATTTATCTAACTTTGTTTGAGTTGCTCAGCGGTTTATTTGATTAAGTTTAAAGGCAGAAAATGTGTTGCTTAAAACTTTCCTCAGGGAATGATTATTTATTTTTGGGATATGATAACATTTGAACGTTAGTCAGGTAATACTAGAAGAGAATAATGTTCCCACGTGATTCATCGAAACTGTTTTCATCCTGAAAGCTTTCATTACTTTCTAATTTATTATGAAACTTTGGTTTAATGATTGGACTTAATCGATTACATTATAATGATATAATATATAATATATACGGATTAATATGTGAATAACTATGAACACGATTGTATACCTTTGGTGAGGGATATAATGGAAACGAAAAGTTTTGAATTTTTAGGTAATGACGCAATGATTTTCTTTTGTTGAGATTGGAACAATCACATAAAATCGTTTCGCCGGTCACGAATTCATGCTTAGTACAATATATCTATAACATTCAAGGAAATTTAAGCCTTCACTAAGAGCTACATAAGTCAAAAATGAAAAATTTACATTCCTACTATACAAGTATTCATACTTCTAACTGAGGATTATTTATCTTAATCACTGAAACAATAGTCAATACCTTACCGTTATTTAGTATTTTGTTGATGGCTAGTAATGCTTCATTTTATAGTTTTTTCTGTTTTGAGGAATGTAACTTTAAGTTTCGTCTTTTGTAAATCTATCATGTACCATAAACCATGTATTTTGCCTAAACAGGAAAATCTAATCTGTGTGAGTAATTATGCATCTTTCTTCGCATAGACATAAATTCATTTCCTCAACAAAGTGAGAACTTCAAACCTAATGAAGTAAATCAGCAAAATGTAAGGATCACTTTTCGATTACACAAGTTTTTAAAATAAGTAAATAATTCATAGAAGAGGTGATGTCTTTAATATAGTTTTTAACCAGTTTTGAGATATGTTTGTCTTGGAATATTAAGTTAAAACTTCTAGAATATTGTTGTGAAACAAAATAGCTACAGTGATTACTGTGTTTAGATACTGAAATTAAATGATGCATGATTCAATTGAACGTTGTCATTTTGATACTACACATACTTCATTTGTAATCAGATAGAAATGAGGGTAGAAAACGGAATAAAGAGAGCCAGTTTAGTTACCTTGCCCCCAAATGACCTGGTACGGCCGAGAGTGGGGAGAGTCCGCTCTCCCTCTCCAAATGCTCTCACATGGCCAGCGGATATTAGCTTCTGCCAAGGAAGTCCTACTCACTGCCTTCTCGTGGTGGGGGTGTTGTTTACGAAATTGAGAGGACGAAAAGCGAATTTCCGGCGCTTTAACCGGGTTGGTGGATGTGGAGTGTCCACCTAGGGGAGTTGGAAAACCCTGATTCCAAACCAATGGTGCACATGGGCTCCAGTATCCTGATGGAACGAATGGCGAATGAACCTGCTGCTGGAAACCGGCTACCATGGGACTGCATCTACTCACGATGCTCCACTGCCTTGTGGATCAGATATTCAGGTCAAAGGCTCCAGGTGTGGGCCCCTAAGAAAACCAAATGTTTCAGTTTGGGCACCTGAGCAGTATCACAGCCCTCACACAAATCAAATGAGATTAGTGTGGCGCATATGTTTCTGGTGCTTCCTTGTACCAATATTTATGTGTTTAAATAAATAATTTATGTGTTCAGTTACCTTAATCGTACTTGCAAAGAATTAGAAAAAACCACCAATCCGAATTGGTCGACATGTCTATACTGTAAAGTCTCTTCTTAATAAGTCAGTGTTAATTTGTCTAGGTTGTAGCATTAAGTTGGAATGCTAATTTCTTTTCTATATTATTTTAAGCAATTAGGAAAAAAAACATAAGAATTCTAATAATTCTATTCAGAAGAATCTAGACATTTCAACCAAGAAGATTTTTCTTTTGACTATATCATTTTCTGAAGCTGTGTAGCTTTATTTTCTATATATTTAGTAGTCTATAGTAAAATATAGAAGTGTTACAGACTAATCAGAGATTCAGTTAGTATTATTTGTTTGAATATTCCCATCGATGTTTACGACTGCAAC